ACCGCGGTGGTTTCTAAGGATAGGGGGAATTGACTGATCTACCTTTGCTTGAACGTTGTTCTTCTTTGATATTACCTCATCGAATTTGGGATGCAGGGACAGCGATGCCGTCTCCATTTGCCACCGGACGATAACAGAAGACGGGGGGGCTTGCTGCTGAGGGTCATGGCTTGTGGCGTGCATGGTATTCGAGTAGACTGCCAGTATCCACGGGCCCGACGCAGAGCCACCCGTGCTGTCTGATTGTCCAGGAACGATGTCAAGACGGGTAAGGCTGTATAGAGAGCTTGGGGCCGGCGAGTGCTCCTTCGAATTATCGCTCTGGTTCCGGTTGGGTGTGAAAACGCTACTCGGATTTTCGGTCTTGCTGTGAAAGATACGAAAGCTCGGCGTTGGGAAAGGATGTGTTGCAGAAGCTTGCTTAGGCTGATTCGGGTCCCATTGGGCCGGATTCCAGGTGATATGCACCCGGTAGAGGCCAATCTTTTGGCAAGCAGAGTGCGTTGCTATGAGGATACCCCCTAGATTCCTCAGATTAGCGAGAAGAGTTCTGACAAGAAGAGCCCTGAAAAGAGTACCTTGGGTAGCCACGAGCGCCGCGTGCGTTAGAAGTCGGTCCGAATGGCCAGTGGTCTTCAGCTCAGCGGATATCTCTGCCCATCTATGGTCCGGATTCTGGTACAGGAGTCTGATTACGCCGGCTCTTGTTACGCAGAGGAGAGCGATCTTGCCGACCGGATGAAAAGGACCAATGGGCCGACGACGGAAAGGAGAGTAACCCCAACGGCCGTTCAGCTTGGCCGCTTGATGGAAGGCATGTACCTGCAGCGAGGTGCTATTAGAGACGATATCTTCAACATGCTTTGAGAACAAAGGGGACGAGGAATCCTACCGAGCGCTGAGCGTTGAGCCACATCATACCCACAACCTGGGAACCATCATCAGCTGAATCAATGATGGCCTGGCGATGTGTGACAATGCTATTCAGAGCGATAGATATGGAGAAGACAGAGACCCGGCCAGACGCATCGACGACGGCCAGCTCGGACCCGGTCTCATTCCAGGACAGGTGGGTTAACGTATGGCCACCATGGGCTTCCGTGACAGGATTGAGAGGATGGTCATTGCTGAGAACCCATTTCCCATCGGATGGGCGACAGACAAGATGACGGACATGGACGCGGTGGCCATCCTGAGAGATGTAGGCAATGCATCCCAGTCTCGACCAGGCAAGCTTTCTGCCAAGCAACTGGTCAGAACCAGCACGAGATTCAATGATTGTGGTAGAATACAGTAAGAACAAAGATAACATACTGACAGCAGCCCAGGAGGCGCATCTCATCGAGACGCTGTGAGAGACCCTTGGTGGGTTGTGGTGCAGGGAGACCCAGTTCGAGGGAGGAAGGATCCCCGAAGAGGTCGTCGACGTCGATGCCCTCCTCCATGATCAGGGGCATTGCAGGATACTAATCCCCCAGCACCAGCGATATTCAAAGAAAGAGGACCAAAAAAGGAATATCAAGATAGTTCGAACGC